ATTGGATCACACAGGCTAGTGTGCTTCTTGCGAGTGGATTTAATTGATGCCCCACTTAGATGGTTGCTTGTTTGAATACAACCCTTTTAAAATCCCAGACACCAAATGAACGCATTTCTAATAGAAAGCAGAGTATACTGATTGACTTTTAAAATTTTAGTGGAGTTCTAATTTTCAGATAACTTTTTGATCAGAAAACAGTTTCCTGAAGGGGGTGGGTGGGAGGGGAGAAGGCTGTACAACCACAATTTAATTCATTAGTATAAACAGGTAGGCTTCCCTAAATATCAAAGGAATAGTAATGTTCTCAAATTGAATGGTGTAGACTATGCCTTTCCAAAGCTCTCAAACACTTTCCTCAGAATAATGGCTATAATAGTGTACAAAGTGAGTTGGCACATGCAATGCTCTACAGGTATTTTGACATTGGGGGATTAAGTGCTTGGCTACCATTAAATTCACTGGAGATGTTGATGGATGAAAATGTAGTTGCCTAGATAAGAGGATTAAGGCCAGCTACTGAAACCACTGTTATTGTTCAGGCAGCATAAACGTCAAACTATAAAAGTCTTCACTCTGGGCACACCCCACTAAGTCAGTACATGTTTAGTTTCTTCATGTTTTTGAAGTTTTTCCCAAGGCAGTTTATGGAGAGGCAAAAGACCTTTTCCCCTGTTTTGTTTGTTTGTTTGTTTAAATGTAGTCTTATAAAAGGCCAGTTGGGACATAAAGGCTTTAGTATTGTTTAGGTATGGTTTAGTGAAATAAACAATGAAGAATATCACCACGTGAAAAAATAAAAACTTTGTTAAATGACTGTTTTGAAACAATTCTTTTGAGAATGGTTTATTTTTTTAAGGGCTAAACAAGTTCCATTCTATGTTTGGAACTCTAACACAAAATCTCTATGTGTTAGAGATTTTGACAGTCTGTTATAGGCCTGCTAGCTAACTGTCTGTAATTTAGGTCAAGTAATTTTAGCTTAAAATTAATCAGGTTTAAAATGGTATTGGTTATTAATAAAATTATTGTTAGGTTAAGCTTTTTCATCTAAATAACATTACTTTGATGTCTTCGCCGAACTGTGTTATGTTCAAGCATCTCAAGGTGAAAACATTGTTGACTGACCTGTATGTGTTTTGCTTAGTTGCTGGCATTTGAAAATTGGGAGACTGTACATCAAATCTGAATTTGTGGGATCTTTTGAAAAATTGTCAGCACTAAACTTGTTTTTTAGATCCACTTGGGTGCTTCTAAGAAATGGATACTGCATATACTCGAGTATAAGCGGACCTGCATATCACCTGAGGCACCCAATTTTACCACAAAAACTGTTTAAAATGTGCTGAAAAACTCGGCTTATACATGAGTATATACGGTACTTTCTCCATACTGAGAGGCTTAGGCATAACCCCCATTTGGCCTGTTGCACTCATTTACAATACCTGCTTCACTGGTGCTGTGGAGAAATGTCAAGAAGGCTGAGTCTGACTTCCTCTGGCTACCCCAAACCAAAAAACCAACGCACTGGGGTGGAGTCAGTGCTGACTTACAGTGACCTCCTGTGGGTTTCTGACACCGTAACTGTGCTCAAGAGTAGAAAGCCTGGTCTTCCTCCCAAGGAGCTGCTGCTGATGGTTTCAGACTGCTGATCATGCAGATCGTAGCTCAACATGTAACCACCATACTACCAGGGCTCCTTTTTGGCTACACTGGGGGAGAAAGAATCCAACTCACACTGCCTCGGGGCCCATTGCCACAAGGCAGAGGTCAGACCCTCCAAAATCCTTTATTCATTTCGCACGCTCTGTTCTGTTTCTTTGCGGTGGCTACACAGAACTCACAGACAATATTCACGATGATGGGGGTATATTGGACAAGGTAACAGGTTATCACAAGTCGAGATTAAAGAACCCGTAAAAGGATATATATAGACCTTTAGTCCACAGCAGTGCTTCTTTGTTAGTCCTGCTGGCAGGCACATCTCTGTGGTCCTCAGCCTTGTGGCCCCTGGCCTTTCTCCAGTGTTACAAAGCTCATTAGCACTGATAAATATTCAACGAGTACCCCACTCTGCAAGCCAGCCTCCTGGCCAAATACCTGGCTGCAGAAAAGCTCTTGATGGAGGCCTTTGCTGCCTCGCCACTTCACTGCAGGCAGGGACTTCACACGCAGGTGACTCCCTTTTCTCGATGGGCAGAGATTTCTCTTCTGGTTTCTGAAATGGCTCGCTTTATACCCAGTGGAGTGGCAGAACTAGCCAGTCTTGTTGTTAGAGTCCTCTGTAGTTATTTGCTTGTTCCCCCCTGTCATTCCCTGAAGAAAGTCTATGTCAGGTATCAAGATGTATTATGGTACTACTTTAGATAATAAAAAAGTAGAAATACCCTTCCTTCAAGATGAAATTATAGCTTAGTTATAGAATGGAATACTATTTGCAGTAGTTAAAATGAATGAATTTAATCCACATCTGTACGTATTAACCCATCTCAAAAATATAATGCTAAACAAAAAAAGCAAATTGAAAATGTTACACATATTTCGATACCATGTGTATAAAATTATAAAATGCTGTTGGTAGATCTAGCAAAGTTCTAAGACCGAGTCTTAAAAGTATACATCAGCTTTGGGTAGGAAACGAGGAGAAAAGGCTTTCACTGTTTTATCGCTGTTGAGCTCAACTAATAGGCAATGTTGTAGGATGTAGAACTGCCTGCCCCAGAGGGTTTGCAGATTGCCACATTTTACTCCAGTGCACTGGCTGTTGGTTCAAACCATGAACCTTAAGCTTACCGTATAACCTCTGTACCACCAAAGCATGTTTTCTCTCTATATACAAATATATTTTTTAATCTGAGGCAAATGGACAAAGTCTTAAAAGTTCATTTAACTTTGGTAGTTAGTACATTTTGGTATCTGTTAAATCTGAAATGTTTGGGGAAAGAAAAACATGAAGAATGGTTTATGAAGTTTTGACATAGTTTATAGTATGATATTTTCCTCTATCCTCACAAACGGCCTCTTTTTTGTTATATGGGGAACTCTTACAGATATCATAACATAGTTCAATCACATTATGAAGTATTGTACTATTGCTACCACAGTCAGTTTCAAAACATTTTCTTCTTGAACTCCTTGATATCAGCTCCTCTTTGTCCCCTCCCTTCCCCTTCCTACCCCCCGAAAGACCTCTTAATGTGTGTGTGTTTTTTTTAATTCTTAGTGGGTTTTACACACAGGTTGAAATATATTGTAATATACGTATTTATCATTTTATTGGGGGCTCTTACAATATTATAACAATCCATAAATCAGTTATAAATTAAAGCAAGCAAACTTGTACAGATGTTGCCATCATCATTTTCAAAACATTTTCTTTCTACTTGAACCCCTTGATATCAGCTCCTCTTTATTCCCTCCCTTGTCCACTCTACCACCCTCATGAACCCCTTAATAAATTATATATTATTATTTTCATATTTTACATTACCTAGTGTATCCCTTCACCCACAGTTCTGTTATTTGTCCCCCTTGAGGGTTATACATTCATCATTGCTATCGGTTCACCATTTCTCCCTTTCCTTCCCATATTCTCATGGAATCGTTACTCCCATTATATTTTAATATAATATATTGTAATATATAATGAAGTATTTTTTGTTACTTTCTCTTAAATCATGAGACCTGAAGAAATGGATGGTGTCCAGCTTCCTTTTCCAAACATTTTGATCAAGGAATCAATAGATGAATCTCTATCAAAAAGAGGATGGGGGTGGCAGGGTGGAACAGAATTTCAAATTCTTACAGGACTTAATGAAGTTGGCAGAACTCCTGAATCTGTAGCTGTGAGAGTATCTTCAAACCACGAACCAAAATTATCCCCTGAAGTCATCTTTAAATTAACTATTTAGCTAAACTAGTAAAGAATGTTTGCACCAGAATTGTGCTATTTTAAATGAAATAAAGCAGTAACTCTAAAATATAGACGAGAAGTTTAAGGGTAGAGTCTAAGTCAGTCGTGGTGAAACAATATGGGTAGAGATAGCAAGAACAGTGACGTAATGTGAACAATGGTAATTAATATGACTTGGTTGTGCACATAGAACTTGAGAATGGGTATTTATTCTGCTCTAGATATTTACACCTAAATTAAAACTAAAACATTTAAAAAATAACAAAACGTATTTCATGACTAAATCTTAGTTAAATTTAAATCAAAGTTTGGTAGAAGAAAATTACTTTTATTTGACATTGACTTGGTCACATGTTTAAATGGTATGAAATGCTCAAGCATTATTTTCTTTTAGTATAATTAGAAAAATGTAAATAAGTTTTGGATTTAAAAACTAATAATTTATTTCTACCTGAGGCATAAATATTTAGCTTGGATTTTTTTTCTAATTTATACATGCATAGCTTTATTAGTAACTAAACAAGTATAAACATATCTCTGAAATTCGCTGATGGCTGCAGACAAATTCTCTCAGTAGTCTACCTGCCGTGGGCTCATTAGGGCACTTTCCAAACAAAAATCCAATCACAACAGTGGCTTCAGAGAAGGTCTACGAGGCCAGTTAAATTCAAAGTAGAGAGACCTGCTCCGAAGTGTATAGTGACTTTTTTCATTCCAAAGACGTATTCTTGTTAGTTTTGTTTGCTTGTTTATGTACACAAGATAATCAATCATGGGACTTATCGTGGACAAGTTTGTTGTTTTAAATCAGTTTATTGGGGCTCATACAATGCGTCACAGTACATAGATCAGTTGTGTGAAGCACACCTGTACATTTGTTGCCCTCCTCATTCCCAAGATTCGCTTGCCTCTTGGGTTCCCGGAATCCGCTCATTTTCCTTTTTCCCCTCCCCCTCCCTTCCTCCTCCCCCTCCTATTTATCTTCGATTTTAGTGAAGTCTGGGTTTTAAAAAAATTGCCTGGGCCAAGATGAAGATGTAGTGTTAATTTAGGATGTTTCTGACTCCTGATTTTTCTCCCCCTTTAGGTGAGACAGGCGACCAATCAGATTGTGATGAATTGTGCTGATATTGATATTATTACAGCTTCATATGCACCAGAGGGAGATGAAGGTACAAATGGCTTTTCATTTTAATATGCTGTCTGTGTATGTATGTATATCCTTGGATATTTTGTTTTTCAAATTGATTTTTTCTTTAGGTTAAGATATCAATGTTTGCTACTTTAGAATATAATTTTTATTGATATTTGTGGGAAATAATTAGTGGTTCTAACCACAAGGTCAGCTGTTTGAAATTACCAGTTGCTCTGTGAAAGAAAGAGCAGGCTTGCTACACCTTTTCAGAGTCATGGTCACAGAAACGCACAGGGCAGTTCTACTCTGTCCTGTTGGATTGTTAGGAGTTGCTATTGACTAGATGACGGTGAGATTTTGAGTTAATCGGACCACACTTCAGAGTTTTATAAAGGAAATGTCACAATCTTAATTCTACTTCAAATATTAAATTATTGTGTTACTCCCTCTGCCATTGAGTCAGTGGTGGTGACTCATAGTGACACCCCCGTGGGTTTCTGAAACCGTAACTGTTAAGGAGAGTAGAAAGCCCAGTCTCCTGAGGCGCTGTTGGTGGTCTCGAACTGCCAGCCATGTAGATTGCAGCCTGTTTTTGTTAAGGGTGAAATGAAGAAAATAATGTGTGTAGAGCTGAAGAGTTATTTCTAAAAATAAGGGGTTTAAAAATGGAAGGTTCATTAGGGACTTAGTTTGCATGTGGTTTTATTAAACACTTAAAATTTCTTCCTCTTGAAACAAATTAAAATGGACATAATCTTATTCACAATTGGAAGGAAAATATTTGCTTTTTGAGATTGACTAAGAGTTTAAACTAGATGATGGAGCTAGTTATAGAGTAAGAATATGAGAGGGCTTCAAAAAGTGTGTAAAAATGGAATTACAAGATAATGGAGGTTTTCCTCAAATTTTTTTAACCTACGCGTGTGTTAAAAAGCCTAGCATAGAATGTGCGAGAACTTTATATTCACAGCTTTGAAATGAGTACTGTGGTAGATCTTACAATAACGATTACATTGGGTAATTAGTTTTGGCCTGAAATCTCATTCCCATCTAAAGTTGCCTTTTTAAACATTACAAAGTTTGGCGCAAACTCATACAAGTACATTTTTATTGGAGCTGAATTACTTTTTATCCTGATTTCACTATGGTGCTTTTTGTCAAATGGTCTTTTTTCTACTGCCCTTTTAGAAAATACTCTCATGTGATATAAAATACATTAGAAATTTGACCCTTTAAATTATGTTTTGTACTGCTATTTTCTCTTTCCTTTGCATTTTATTGAAAAGATGCATACAAGTAACATTTTAAAATCTGGCAGTATTTATTTAATTAATTCTTACTTAATTAAAATGTCCCTGGCAAGAGAAGAAAGAAGACATATTTTTTGTTCATGATATTATGAACATATTTATGATTTTAAGGTTTGAGGACCAGATACTTCAAATGGGCTTGAATGAGTGTCACAATAAAAAGAGTTGACTGGTAAATGAAAGAGTGGTTATTTAAATATCTTTAACTCTGAAGAATGATGGAAGCACCTTAGCTAAACATATAGGTAAAAACATGTAGGTGGAAACATTGGAATTCAGTGCATGGATCTGAAGTTGTGCCTAGTATATACAGAGGTAGACATAGTAAAAATATGTGTACTTTTCAGCTGCCGTCGTTTGAGCTCAGGTTTTTTTGTTTCATTTTTAATTGTAGGAGATCCAGACTTTAAAATTTTTAATTTTAATTTTTAAAATGAATTGTGAATTAGATGGGAGATATCAGGTTTATTTTTATCCTCCTCTTCTAAAACTGCCAGAATAGAAATCAGAGGATTTAAAAGTTCTGAATCTGTATCACTGGGGGGTGCCAAGCTCATAATAATCCGTACCTCAAGGAAGCAGTGATAGTTTTTTTATTAAGAAGATTAGGAGAGAAATGAAAACAGGATGTAAAGAGGATTTAGAACCCGATTTAAATAAGAACTTTTAAAAAGATACATAAAATATTTTCCTTCAAAACAAGCTAAGGTGCATTTTTCGATTTTTTTTCCCTACAACAATGAAAAACCTGGAGCTATATGTGAGCCCATTTACTTTTATAGAGTTGGAAAGTTGTATTAGATTTGGGTTAGGAACAAGGACAGTTTGTCTCCTTTTGCCCTTTACTGTGGTAGCATTTTGTTACTTTTTATCTTAGGAGAGTACATAACATCTTGTTTCCTTAGACATTACTTATGAATTTGACTGCAGTTCTTTCCAGGGCTGTTTGCTGGTGACAGGACAATAGATGGAGCCAATTGGAGAGAGACCATATCTTAGCACAGTTAATTTCATCTAGTGTCTGTTAGTATGTATGATTGCTTTCCGAAAGATCCATTTAGATATGCATAGCCAATATATCTTTGTGCTTTAAGGTGAAGTCAGAAAACTATTTGAAGGCATGAAATTGTTGCTTCTTGTGTAAGTTCTTAATTGATACAAAAGGCCATCTTGTGATGTGTGTGCAGTACTCCAGAAAGACCTATTGGCACGTGCCTCTTTATGGCACCGTCTTTTAAACAGCAATAGTTATTTAAAAACATATTTGAGTTCTTATTTTGTAATATTTAAAAAATGAGAAACCAGTAAGAAAAACGGCTGAAAACTGTTTTTTTACTGTTCTGCACTTCAAGGGTTGGTGAAATCACTAGCACTTAAGCCAGTGCAAGGAATGCACCTCCCTACACAGTGCAGGGATTAGTATTGTCACCAGCTTCTGCAAGAGAAATACGAAACTCTTGAGTGCCTGAACTCAGGTCCCGACAGGTAAAGAGCCTTTTAATTTATCATTAATAGATGACTTGGGCATAACCAATGAAAATGATCACTTGAAAAAGTTTATACCAACTTTTCCCTTAGTCTCCTCTGTCAGGTATACGCTTGTAGATTTAATTGTATAAGAATTTTTTTTTCCTTGGTGGCATACTATTTGATACAGTGTTCTAGTTCAGTTTCCAATCTGACAACATCCCTTTGTTTATCCGTATACGGCACAAGAACCATCAACACATTTATTCTTGAATAGGGTTGTATATTTAAATGTGTGCCTATATGTGTGCTTGTGTAGAAGGACAAAATCGCTTAGAAAGATTGCCACATATTAATGATTTTGGAGGAAAACTATTAGTATGACAAAAAGGAATGGTTCCTCACATCTTATCATTAACCTTATTTAACTATTAATATATTTGTGTCATACAATTATGTGTAGATTAGTAATGGCATCAGTAAACCACCAACTTTGGCAGTAAAGTAGTTTATGTCATTCTGAAGATAACATAGCTTAAATGACTAGTTAAAGTGCTAGTACTCATACCAGAAAGCTTAAAGAAAAAAATCCATTTCTAATAGAAGGTATTGAAATAAAAGATAATAGGAGTTTCATAAGGAAACTTTAAATGAATGGAATCTATGTAAAACATTTGTTCTATAAATAAGACTATAGCGTAGGGGCCCAAAGCAAAGTTCTTGTTGGGGTTAAGCAAATAATAAAAATGATTGAATTGGGCTGGGTGTTGGAGAATAAGAATGATAGAACAAAGACTGAACAGAAAGTTACATGCCCCATATAAATGTAAAACTAAACATTATCTGGCCAAGTGGTACATTTCTGTGGACCCTATTGAGTTCTCTTAAAATTTGAACCTGTGAAGTGGCCTCATTAAAAAGATGGAGGTGGAAAAACACATGAGATTCCTAAAATTGCCAGTGATATAAATAAGGCATAATATTCTATATTCTGATTAGCTATATTAAATAGATTGGTTGGGTTTGCTGTCTGTTTTCCAGTGGGGTGTATGTGTGTATTTATAAGTATGTATATTTTTAAGAATTCAGAACTAGAATATATGAGAGGGGTTAAAAAAGTGCATTGAAAAATTCCATTGTCTTTTAATTCTGTTATCCCATGAACTTTTTTGAAGCCCTCTCATAACTATTTTGGGTTGCTGTTAGAGTCCTTTGAGCAGTAAAATTGCCCTATTTCTGAAATTGTGTTTTTGTCTCTGGTTTATTTATTATTTCTCAGTGTATCAAGTTTTGAAATTTTGGGTATAAGTTTTGTTATGTACTCCTATTCTTAGAATGAATAGGTACATTTATGCGTAAGCTAGCCACTTATATTGAGGAACTAGATATTTTCACAGTGTTTTGATAATTTTCATTTATCCCCCTGGATTAAATGATGATTTTATTTTTATTTCTGATGTAAAAAGTTACATTTAGAAAATGTTATAAGTCTGTGATTATGTAGAGAAATTAGAAAATGAAAAAAAGAAATAAGTTAAAATGTTTTTTCTATACATACATACTTACTATTAATAGTTTATCTCTAGTTTTTTTTTTTCTGAGAATAAAGATATCTATGTAGAAATGTTGTTTGAGTACATTTTAACTCATAGCGACAACATGGAACTGTTGTTCATGTTGTCAGCTCATGTTGTCATGTTGTTCATGGTATCAGCTCCCCATTTCTTTCCCCTCCTTCCCCTCCTGCCCTCCCTCATGAACCCTTAATAACTTATAGATTATTATTTTCATATCTTACATTGTCCTCTTTCGCCCCGCACCCACCTTTCTATTATTCATCCCCCTGGGAGGGGGTTCTAGATTGATCCTTGTGATAGATTCCTCCTTTCTTCCCCCACCCTCCCCTAATTCTAGTATCTCTACTCTCATTGTTGGCCGCGAGGGGTTTATCTATCTTGGAATCCCTGTGTTGCAGGCTCTTATCTGTAGCAGTGTGCATTCTCCGATCTAATCCTATTTGTAAGGTAGAATTGAGGTCATGATAGTGGGGGGAAGGAAGCACCAAAGAACTAGAGGAAAGTTGTGTGTTTCATCGGTGCTATTCTGCACCCTGACTGGCTCATCTCTTCCCTGTGACCCCTCTGAGAGGGGATGTTCAATTGTCTACAGATAGGCATTGGGTCTCCACTCCATGTTGTCCCCTGTCCCCCACTTCCACATTGGTATGATTTTGTTCTCGGTCTTAGATGCCAGATCCTTG